AGTCAGCTAACTACGCCGACATTTTCTACCACAACTCAAAACTCTGAAGATTCGGGAAGGTCAGCGAAGAAGGCCCGGCGCGGGACCATCGTCGGGGAGACCCAGGGACAAACAGCAACTCCTCCTCCCTCGGCTCGAAAGGGTGAGCGCAAACTTGCTCCCAAGCTCGACGCCAACGCCATGCAAAATGATCAGGGCTACGGCCAGCCCGACTTTCTGGCAAATGCCCAACAACAGCAGCAGAATATGGGTGGTTTCGTAACGACTCCGACCGACATGTTTGGATATCCCTTGTCAGCCCCTGCCGCCCCGGCAGGATTCAGCCAAAGATCCTTTTGGGACACGGATCCCAGTGTTGGGTCAATGGATGTAGATTTTGGAGTCAATGGGTTTCAAGACTCAAATGCCGCACTCCAGCAGATGGACCCGAATGAGTGGGCGAGAGCCGCCCAGATGATGCAGGCCCAGGGCCTCATGGTGGGACATGGGGATGGCCACATGTCTATGGGCGAGCACCAGCCTTCTCTGATCTCCCAGGCGCCGATGCCGGCCCTCGTGACCTCGGCCGCGGAGCAGACGATGTTTGCTGTACAGTACCAATCAGGCATGGAAAATCCGTTTGGGATAAGTGGCAATGGCAATGGCAATGCCGTGGACCCAGGGCTTCTCTTCAGCCGTCCTCAGTCAGCAAATCTGGATACCGCCTCTCTCGATCGTCCAATGCACCCGCCGATTGCACCGCGTCCTCCATCAAGTCAAGACACGCAGTCGAATGGACGACCAATGTCCGTACCAAAACTAACAGCACAACCTGAGATCCGGCGCTCGTCGAGTACGAGGAATGGTGCTGCAAACAAGCCGGATCGCGCTTTGGCAGCTTCTCCTATCAAATCTTCTGGCCGTCCAGGTCTCACTCGTAGCTTTAGTGAGAATAGGGGTAAGAAGGGTTCTGGTAGGCCTGCGCTGCCCACTTTAGCACCAGCTCCTCGACCACAGTCACAGCTGGTAAACAATGCCGGGGTCAACGCAAATCGTCCCGTTCTTTCTCAACCTCCAAGGTCAAGTGGGAGATCATCACCACTAAAGAGTCAGCAACATCAGCGTCTTCCCAGTCTGACATCAATTCCAGAGACGTCCGGACCTCGCATGCGTACTGAGGCAAAATTTACCATTGATGCCAACGGCAGAGCTCGCGTGGAAACAACGGTTATTGTAGAGAATGAAGAACCGGCGAGCGCCCGCAAGCGCCACAGCACTCATAGCTCGCACAGCCTTCACAGCGCCCATAGCGCCCAGAGCGCCCACTCTGTCGTACGGCGTCGCCATTGGACCTCATCGGACGAGGACGATCTCTCCTCGACAGACGATGAAGGGCCCATCATCATCCCGAGCCGCCCTACATCGTTTGCGCTACCTGATCCCATAAAACCGTCAAGGCCTCACCCCTTCCACGAGCTGCAGCGGAGCGTAAGCGAGCGTAGCACCACGTCATATACGAGCTTTCGACGGGGATCGGACGATGGCCACGACGCTGATAGCGACGTGGAGACGATTGTGAATGAGCCAACACCCACGGGCAAACCAATTGGAGATGCAGCTAGCGAGCTGCAAAAGGTGCGTGAGGCTCGACGGGGGCACCAGTGGTCGACGTCGAAACCCAAACGACTGTCAACGATGATGAGCGGGAATGCTAGCTTCGGCGGACTGTATCCCAACCAACAAAATGTTTCGCCTACCACCATGACGGATGCCAGCCTCCCCACGCCATCCACCGTTTCCAGGACTCGTGGCGTTCGTTGCGTTTGCAACCGGGCCGAGGCTGGGCGTAATGAGGCACTGGTTCAATGGTAAGAATGAACCCCCAAACCCAGGTTTTAATGTTTTGGCGCATCGCATGCTAATATGAGGGAACCATAGTGAGTCGTGCGAGTTCTTTGTGCACGAACGTTGCGTCAATGTGACCGAAGGGTCGATTTACATCTGTTCATTCTGCATGACTACCCCGAACGTGCGAGGGGGAAGGGTCCGGGACAGCGGCCGCATATCGGGGGGGCTTGGCCCACCACCGCCCGTCACGTCACCGCTGGCACACAAGTCTTTTAAGTCGTTTCGGTGATATTGGTTCTTGAAGTACTCGCTGTCTGCAAAAGAAGGAGCGGCATTGGTTTGGTTCCGATGAAGTGGTTTCAGGGGTAATTTAACCCGAAGTGATATCTAGGATATGAGATGGTTGATCTGGATATATGATGGCATGGCATGTTTGCGAGCAAAAAACCATTTTTGCGATATACCCAAAGCTCTGTTTCTCTATGATCGGTACAGCAAGCATTGAAATGAGCGAAGCAGCAACAGAAAGGAGCCTTGAAAATGGAAGCGCCCAGTTTGTGAAACAGGTTTCTGGCGATTTGATTGCCTGATAGGTACTTTTGGTGAGGTGACATACCAGTGCATAATTACCTGTGGTATCTGATTCGAAGTCACATGCAACATGGCGCTACCCCTATCTAGTTCCTGGAGCACAAGATTATCTCGTAAGGGGACACAGCCTCGAACCAGTGGCCTAATTCAACTCTGCTCGGCGTTCCATCACCGGCCGGTATCAGGAACGAGAAAGATGATCTTCTCCTAAGAGGAAGCTTTAAAAGTGGAGCTCGAGAGAGATGCCCATGTTAGCCGGATCGCCGAAGCAAAGCTCCTGGAAACGGCGGCCGACTTCGGAAGGCGGGGGGTTTTCGATTTCGGGGACTGGGGGGAGGGAACGACCTGCGCTCAAAAGCTTGAGCTTAGAACCTGGCAAACGACTGCTGGTCCTCTTCCTTTTGGTATCTTTCTCTCTATTTCTCATTTTCTATACCCCGGGTCAGTCAATTGACTTTTTTCAAGCCCAAAGATTTTCCCTGTTCGTTCTGCCAATTCTGAGCTTCTATTATACCCCGCAATCCGGTCCTCAAAGCTCCCCCCTCTTCTCCTAACAAGAGCTAGGACCCAAGCAGTTTTTCCAGAAATACAAGGAACACATAATGGCGACACATAACATTGTTGTATTTGGTGGTGACCATTGCGGTCCGGAGGTATGTTGATTTGGTAGATATCATTTTACGGACAAGACACAGCAGCTGACACGAGGAAAACAAAATAGGTTGTGGCTGAGGCCGTCAAGGTTCGTCTTTCTTGGTATACCCCCGAGATAGGCCCCACGCGATTTTGGCAATGGGCGTCATAGCAAGCTACGTGACTGACCTGGGGGATTATATAACAACAATAGGTTCTCAAGGCCATTGAGGAATACAGCCCCGAGGCTGGCAAGTTCAACCTTCAGGATCACCTCCTGGGCGGTGTAAGTTTTCCCCTTTGAAACTCCCCCTTTTCTCTGGGGTGGAAAGCTCGGAGCTTCTGCTGTGCGAACAATGATGCCATTGACGGCGGGGTAGCTTCCTTTTCCTTCCACCAATGCCCATCTACGCCGGATTCACTGGCTAATTACTGACCAAAACACATAACAGGCCTCCATCGACGCACACAAGTCCGCCCTGACCGACGAGGCCCTCGCAGCAGCCAAGTCAGCCGACGCCGTCCTCCTCGGCGCCATTGGCGGTCCCGAATGGGGTCCTTCCTCCCCCGTCCGCCCCGAGGAGGGCATCCTCAAGCTCCGCAAGGAGCTCGGCACCTACGGCAACCTGCGTCCCTGCAACTTCGCCTCCGAGTCCCTGGTCGACAGCTCCCCGCTCAAGGCCGAGGTCTGCCGCGGCACCGACTTTATTGTCGTTCGTGAGCTTACCGGTGGCATCTACTTTGGCGACCGCACGGAGGACGACGGATCCGGGTTCGCCATGGACACGGAGCCCTACTCCCGACCCGAGATCGAGCGCATTGCCCGCTTGGCTGGTTTCCTCGCTCTGGCCAAGAGCCCCCCGGCCAAGGTCTGGAGTTTGGACAAGGCAAATGTTTTGGCTACGAGCAGACTCTGGAGAAAGGTTGTGACGGAAGTGTTCGCCAAGGAGTTCCCCCAGCTCGAGGTGGCGCACCAGCTGATTGACAGCGCGGCCATGTTGATGGTCAAGAACCCCCGTGCGCTGAACGGTGTGGTTATTACCAGCAACTTGTTTGGCGATATCATCAGCGATGAGGCGTCGGTTATTCCTGGGTCTATTGGTTTGCTGCCTAGTGCTAGTCTGGGTGGTATCCCTGATGGCAAGAGCAAGTGCAATGGCATTTATGAGCCGATTCACGGTGAGTTTACTTTTCTCTTGTGATTTGCTTAAGAAGCAAGATTATTGACAAGAAATGTTAGGTTCCGCCCCCGATATCTCCGGCAAGGGCCTCGTCAACCCCACTGGCACCATCCTCTCCGTCGCCATGATGCTCCGGTACTCTCTCAACCTCCCCAAGCAGGCCGACGCCGTCGAGGCTGCCGTTAAGGCCGCCATTGACAACGGCACCCGCACGAAGGATCTTGGTGGTAACGCCGGCACCACCCAGATGGGTGATGCTGTTGTCGCCGAGCTCGTCAAGATTCTCCAGGCTTAGAAAGACCCCGAGGCTGTCGGCGAGGTTACCGAGGAGGATTGCTGCAAGGAGGTTATCCTGGACATTTGTAGACGCCTTGGTCTGTGAGGTTATGGCGTAGAGCAGAACGGGGGTTTCATGTACATGGATGGGAAAAAATCGATGATTTTGTGATTGGCTATATGATGCAGGAAGGAAAATATGGGCGGTTAGGAAATTTTTTATTTTTTTTTTGCCGGGATTAGCAATTTCATAGGTACCGCTCCCTTGACAGAAAGAGTTAAAGGAAGCCGAATGAGAGATATGACACTCTCCTTTTCATGAGCTTGGCGTATGGTTTCTGCCCCAAGAAATACAGATGTGATTGTGTTGACTCTTGATGCCGAGTCAGAGACTCCACATTCCAAGATTTTCTGCGCGGATATCAACCCTACTTCCGCACCACTCTCCCAGCAAACATCCTTGTCGGAAACCACACACGATTGACAAAAGAATCGGGTATGGTGTAGCGGTAACATCGCTGACTCTCATCCAGATCTTCTTCTTCTAACAGAAGACGAGGAGAGGTTACTCAGCAGCCCGGGGTTCGACTCCCCGTATCCGAGATTTTTGCGCCCCTGTGGTGCTTCTTTTTTCTCTTCGCCATTAACTTCTGTTTTCAAGCTCTCGGCAAAGGGGTAGAATTGACGTAAAGAAACGGACTCAACCGGGGGGGTTCAGGGAGGTAGGCAAATTTGCTGCCCTTTGGCGGGTATTTCCCCCCTTTTTTGGCCAGAACCACTGCCAGTGAAGGAGTTCAGATTCTGCCCATGCCCACTCAGTCCATTAGGCCTGTTAAGTTTATCTCCTCCCCTATTTCATTTTTGGTCGTTGTATTGGTGATATTGCCATTGATGGGGGAGGTTGCCGAGGTTGAAGAGAGAGAAACAAGGACATTGGAAGGCACAATATTCCCTTGCGTCAAAACCAATAGAAGGGAGGATTCTATCTCAGGCAGAGAGGAAATAGTCTCTGCAAAGAGAAGGTATGTGAAAGAGCGGCTGCAGTCTATCCATAAGCATTCAGTATCAAGCTTTCTCAGCCCAACCAATCTGAGGTTTGTACTTGGTGCAAGGATGGATAGATAGATTTGGCGATCGTCGCCGGGTATCGACTTGCACGTTCCGTCGCACCACCCGGGACGGGGGCCGATCACGGACGGGTCCCGGGGTCTCAAGCCAAGCTCTGCTAGCTCCCGAGGCGGGCCCCGCTTGCTGGGTCAAGAAGTGGGGACATGCCGATACACTGGAAGGTATCTGGTTCAACCTCAGTCACATCCATCTTGCCCAGGTGAATCATGAGAGGAAAAGAAAAAAAAAGGAAAAAAAAAGAAAAGAAAAAAAAAACCCCCCCCCATTCCTGGTGGTGATCATTTATGCGGAAACTCTCGGCGATCCTGTCAAGAAAAGCTGAGTCCCGTCAGCTGAGCCTAGGTTGACGGCCAGCCATTATTAGCATCACAGTTCTTGTTAGTGAGAACCTTGATGGCCAGCTGATGTCTTCATGTTTGGAATCGAGGATTTGGCCGACTTCTTCCAACAGAAATTCAGCAGGACGGGCTATTGGGCCATTCTCGAACTGACCAGATAGACTCGAAAATGGTTCGCCCTTTCCCATGATTTCCGGGAAAAGGGCCCCATCTTTCGTGATGAGGCAGTATCGAATGATACGATGGTCGGGGTTTTCCCTCCAGCAATAGGTAACCCTTTTTTTTCAAACCCAATCTGTTGAGTCGACACCTCGCCCATCCTCATCAAACCCTTTCGCTCGTTGCGCTTCAGCTTCTTTATCCAGAGTATTTTTAACCTCCTGTCCCGCCCCCCTCCAAGACCGAACATACGATGGCGGCAAGACCATCAATACTCGTCACTAAAAAGCGACTCATCGTCTGCTGCGATGGCACTTGGATAACCTCAGACGCGGGCTACAAAAAGCCCACCTTCTAGAATCCGGTCGGCAAGAAAGTCGTCCCCTCCAATGTCACCCGCCTCTCGCGCTCTCTCCGCCGCAACTGCACCGACGGCACCCTCCAGATCATTAAGTACCATTCTGGCGTTGGCACCGGCGGCAGTTTCACCGATATCTTTTCCGGGGGTGCCGTTGGGCTGGGCATCTCCGAAGATATCCGGTCAGCATACTCCTTTATTTGTGCCAACTACGCCGACGGCGATGAGATCATCCTGCTTGGTTTCTCAAGAGGCGCCTTCACTGCACGCTCGGTTGCCGGCATGATCTCTGCTCTCGGTCTCCTCACACGAGAGGGAATGGGGTACTTTTATCCTATCTACCAAGATATGCAGCACTGGCAGGACGATGAGTAGGAGGACCCGTTCCCAGACGCACCGTTTGCCGAGACGCCCAAGGGCGTTACGGCAGCTGAAGAGTATCGGAAGTTGCTGGCTGAGAAAGGTCTCACCCGCATCCATGATGACGATAGGAAGATCATCAAGGTCAGAGCTGTCGGTATGTGCCTGTTGCATACGATCCCCTGCAAGTTCGCACGGCAGCAGTACTGACGACCATACCCAGCTGTCTGGGACACGGTAGGAAGCTTAGGCATACCCAGCGTCTCGCTCTCAGCCCAGTTTGGTCTGCCAAACCACACCAAGGAGCTTCGTTTTTACGATACCAATCTATCCAACCGTATCGAGTACGCTTTCCAGGCCTTGGCCCTAGACGAGCACCGCCCTCCTTTTCCTCCCGCATTATGGGAACGCGCCACTGTCGAAGCGCGGGAAACTGATCTCCGCCAAGTTTGGTTTCCCGGAAACCATGGTAACTGTGGTGGTGGGTGGGACGATGCCGGCATAGCCAACTTGTCCTTAGCTTGGATGATGGACCAGCTCGCATCCATCGGCGTCGGGTTTGACGAAGAGACCATCATGCGCATCTTTTCCGAAACGAAGAAGCACTACCTCGAACTAGCCGAGCAAGACGAGAAGCTTCAGGCCGAGCTAGCCGCCACCAAAGAGAAGACCCTCGACGAGATCGCCGCCGGGAACGACGACGAAGTCGGTGGATGCTGCAGTAGCATTCTCGCGAGATTCTCCTCCGTCCTTCCCGTCAAGATTAATCGCTGGGCCATGCAGCCAATTTACAGAAACAACAACCCCATTAGACCCTGGGGTCTAGGCCAAATCCAAGGACTTCAGGGTCTTGGTACAAGGTCTCCCGGAACATACAAGAGACTAGATCCAGTGACGGGATCGGAGACAAACCTGTTTCTCGAGGGCACCAACGAGCGCATACACAGCTCTGTTCGAATTCGCCTCGCCGTGGAAGGACTGGGCCTGAATGATCGCGGCATATGGAAAGCACCTGCTCTGAAAGGAGCCTGGCGTTTGCGCACCGTGTCGACCATGGCCTTTCACGATCCTATCCCTAGCACCATCGAAACGTGGGAGCCAACAGGACAAGCCCAAGCCTCGACAGCCGAGAATACAGGTGGTTTGGTGGAAAAAGCAGCCGAGACGATCGTCGCCAAAGACTCGGACACCACTGCCTCAGAAGCCCAGACCATGGTAGACCTGGCCGCAGAGCAGCAGCGCCCGCTGAATATACCCAAAGGCTCCGAAGCTCAGACCCTTGTAGATGTGGCCGCAGCGCAACAGCATCCCTTGAATATACCCAAAGGCCGCCGATGGGTATACGAGTACTGTGGCAGCAAGAAAGATGCTCCCCCGATAAAGTTAATGGTGGAGGAGCCACTGGGTCCCTTTGAGAGACAGTTACTGCGTCTTTCGGGTGGGATTCCGAACGTGTATGAGTTTGCTGAAGCAAGGAATAAGATGGATGGAAAGATAGTGGGTAAAAAATGAGAGGGGAAAAATAGGAAAAGAAACCAGCTCCCTAGTCTACAAGCCGCTGGTGTACGGAAAAAGACAGATGCTCGCTCCCCCTAAAGCACGAGGTAGTAAGTAGACCTAGACAGTAATGTTAACGGTATAAATCGGTAAAGTATCCTCGATGGCGCTGTTTGGTCAGCCTTTGTGACAAGTGGGATGTATACGCGAAGAGGTGATCTATAATTCACAGTGCATCGATATGCGGGTCTCTTAGAGCTACTCTCCATACCACTGCTCGTTCTTGCTCGATTTCTCTCCCAAGGTAAAATCTGTCTACGTCTTGCCAGTGGGCTGTGAGATCGTATCTAAGGGCGTGGTATATTCAGCCCAAGGCCGCAACAAATTGGACTTGCCCACACTTGCAAAATGAGTGCAAATATATACAATCATGAATGTCATGATACATACTCGTTCCAACTTTTGAGATGCTTCCAAGAAGCTTGGCCAAGCCATGGCACTCAAAATCTGCACGCCGGCATCTGAATTGCTTAGTATTTCCGCCAGACAGGTTCAAAGGGAGGGCCGCTGTCAAAGTGAAGACATCGGTCATGACACAGCGGCAGTTCCATCAGGCTAATCTATATAGATGAACCACCACCCACTGCCGATGTACCCCAGATAATTTCGACGGCGCTTGCCCATCCAATGCCGTGACAAACTTCTTACTGCATGTTATTAAACCCGGCCGTATTTGGCCCTGGAACTGGGTGCTGAGAAGGGAAGAAAGGTGAAAACCTTGGATGGACCACGTGGGCTGTCTTTGAAGGGAGGACCCGTCTCGGTAGATCCAACGTCGAGAGACGATAGATCAGGATGGACCGGGAGGGCGTTCGGAGAATAGGTATACCAAGCGAGCTGTTTGTTCCTGGCCTCTGGCTCGATAAAAGAAGCCCAGAAAGAGAGTGCCACCCCCTTTCCAGCGCCCTCCCCCCCTTTTTCTCCCTCCCACCCACACAAGCACATCAGGCCACACTCTACCACCATGCGCTGGCTCACCCCCCTTCTCACCGCGGTGCTCCTCGCCCCAAGTACAGTCTATACCGCCCAGCTCCGATTCTCTTGTTCCCAACTAGTAGTCGACCGCCTCGACCCCCTCGTCAACCCCGGCCAGACCCCGTCTCCCCACCTGCACCAGATCGTCGGCGGCAATTCCTTCAATGCAACCATGGACCCTTCCGTCGTGGACATATCTCAAGAATCCACCTGCACCTCGTGCCAGTTCACCGAGGACTTCTCCAACTACTGGACCGCCGTCTTGTTCTTCAAAGCTCGCAACGGGACGTACAAGCGCGTGTCCACCATCGGCAACGGTCTGGGGTATACCGCTGCCAACGGCGGGCAGACGGTGTATTACCTCTCCAGCGGGAAAGTCACGGCTTTCAAACCTGGTTTTCGGATGGTGGTGGGCAATCCGGCGTTCAAGACCCCGGCTGGTCCGTATTTCCCCCTTTCCCCCTTTCCCCCTTTCCCCCTTCTTACAGCAGTGCTGACAGGAGAAATAGAAGCCCGCACAAACCCAGCCCTGCAATTCACCTGCCTCGCCTCCCCCATGACCCGCTCCGGGTACCGCTACGATTTTCCGTCAGACACCTGCGCCGGCGGCATCATGGTGACCGTCCGCTTCCCCACCTGCTGGGACGGGGTCAACACCGATTCCCCCGACCACCAGTCCCATGTTGCCTACCCGGTAAACCGCAACTGCCCAGCCTCCCACCCGGTGA